ATAAAAAAAGAGCAAGTAAAAACAAAAGTAAAAATCAGAACTATTGCATAAAACACTTCTTAAAAACACTCAGAAAGTCACTGTTTGAAATATTTTACCTGACTTGTGAAAAACTGAGTATATCTTAAACCATTGCTAAGAATATATGAACTATTAGATCAGTACCAAACAATTAAGGAGGTGGGAGTATTCTTTTGTTTATTAAAGTTGTAAGGTATTTCTCCCATCTTCCTAGCGTGCCTATGTGGTGTAGTGGCCAGCACACTGAGCCGGTATTTCAGAAGTTCATGGTTCGATTCCCGGCAAAGGCGTTGCTAATTTTTCATCTTGCCTGCTTAAAAAAAAAGTACACTGTCTCTACAGTGGTGCCAAACTAAAAGGGTGTAAGGGTGTTGGATGATGATTCTCCGCGCCCAGGATTTGGTAATCGGGATCCCTAAAAAACCCCAGTTGCCCTTTAAAAGGGGCAGTATATAAAGTATTTCTCCCGCCTTTCTAGCGTGCCTTCATTGTATAGTGGTTAGCACACTGAGCCGGTATTTCAGAAGTCAGCGGTCCGATTCCGGGCGAAGGCGGTTGCTAATTTTTCATTTTGCCTGCTTCGAAAAATCCTAATGTCTCTATGAAGTAAATAAATCAAATTTAAAGTATGTATTTAAGACGTAATGAAGTAACAAAACATTTTCCTTTGGTTTTCCATATAAGCTAAAAATCCGAAAATGGCCAGTTTTTGATTTCTGAATACCTTGTATATTTTTACTTCTTCAAATCTCAAATAGATATATTTTAAATTCAGTGGTACTCCGTAAATATATCAATCCTTTCTTCTCAAAAAATAATAATTTTTTAGCTTAATAAACAAATGGTTCATGTAAAAAAAAAAAGAGTAATTAATTATGCTCAAATCGTTGCTTTTCTGAATTAAAAAGCTAACTTAAGTTTGACATAATATGTAATTGCACTTACCTTTTTATGTAGAATACAAATAACAAGCAGTCACGAAAAAAATCGCAAAAAAGATAAATGTTTCACAAATTACTACCATTGCAACAGTAGGCACAAAATAAGGACTAAGCAATTTGTCGATTGCATCCCCGGCGGCGGCCTGTACTCTTATATACGCATCGGCATCACGTATTTTCGTTCACATATATTTACAAGATAAGTTCAACTTATGTCAAAAACAGCAAAAACCATTAACTGATACAAGTCAAAGCGATATAAATAGTATAGATATTATGCATGAACTGCAGTTTTTGCAAACTTTTCGAGGAAATGTAGCATTGTCGGTTGAAACTCTAAGTTATGTTGTCAACAACATAGCGATGTGCTAAAAGAATTTTGGATGTCTTCCTAGATATGAGCCCTACAGCATTTTTTGTGCCCTTTGTAATCACAGTTTGAACCTTGTCGTAAACTACACTGCGAATAATAATTTATTCAGTGCAAACATATTAAATATCTAAATGAATTTGTTTTTAATTAAAATAATAAATAGTGTTCAGCAAATAATACTCACTTGTCTGACTTATATTCAGCCTGAGTCCATGGAATTCCTTGAGGCAAAGAGCACAAGATAGCCTGTCATTAGCACCAGCCTTGAGCACCTTACAAGTAATAGTGCGATTTATCTCAGTTTCACCCCCAATTTTGATGGAGAGTATACTGGGGGATGGGTCCAAGTGTGTCCCACCCCTCTTCCCCTACCACCAACCTTTTCGAGAGGACTTTCGCCTCGCATATTTAGAGTGCCCCCCCATGCCGCACTGACACTATACATTTACAAACATCCATGCCTTCGGTTGGGTGGCTTTTTATAACATAAATGTATGTATAATTCTTCAATAAATATGTTTGAGTGTGGGGTTTTAACAAAGCACAAAATGTTTGCATATTTAGACAAAAGATAAAACGTAATTTTTTTGCTTTTAGTCCAAAGGGGCTTTGTCCCTGAAGGACTATTGTTTTCTTTTTGTGCTGAATCACTCTAAATGTCCGTTTCACATTTCAAACTGTTGCCACCAAATGTTAGAGTCCTACATTATATTTGAAGAAATTAAAAATGAAAAATCTGCATAAATGTATGTATATTTCTCGCATTATAATAAAACAACAGTACATAGAGCCATCAAATTTTTGTGAATGACATAATCCTACTGCGAATATGGGCATGTGGAAGCCCAAATTTGCAATTTGTTTCATTATCAATTTCATATTTTGTAAAACCTTTAACGAATTTTTGAGTAACAAACTCAATGATTTGAAAGCGAGCAATGGCAACAATCTATGGGAAGAAACCTTTTTATCTCCAGCGCGCAGAAATGTGTATTGGAAATTCTAAACATAGGCTCATTTTAAAATTATTTTGCGACATAGCTATTGAAGTGAATTTTATGGTTTAAGTGTGAAGAACAGGATATTTAATAAATAAATGTAACACATAAAACATTAAAAAAAGTCCCTTTAAATGTAATTTAAAATTTGAAACCTTTCAGTTTTTTATATTTTTTTCATATTTTGTTAATAATGCTTCATTTTAAATACTAACCATAAGCCCTTTTTTAATATCATCACTGCATAAAGGCACTCACTAGACATTTGCACGACGGTGCAGATTAGGCTTGGTGCTGGCCTGCAGTTATTAGATTTAGAAGTTTTCTGACTGAAATTTACTCACTTCATATCTTTCTTCTTCCCTTTCCGGTAAAAATATATTTATGGATACCCCTTGACAAAAATTGGCGATTTTTTGGGGGTACATTGATACCGAGTTTGTGCAATTATTTGACTTGTTATTTTGGCCGCTACACAAAGCCAAAATAACAAGACAAAGAATTGCACAAACTCAGCATCCATGTACACATCGACCTATTTTCACTTAAAAAAAACATCAGAGAATTGCACAAAATAGGCATTACGCACTTCTTTGACTTTGTCCATGTCCACACAAAACTATATTCACTTAAAAAGTCAAGAAGCAGCCAACAAAAAATGTATAATCTCAATAAACTACATTTAAAATCAAACAATGAAATAACATAAAAAAGGAAATTCATCTTTGTACTACACAAAGGAAATATCCATTTACCTTATTTATGAATTAACATGCCTTCAGTCATCCTTAACAGCTTCCAAAACTTCCTAAAATTATCTGAACTAGAATCTGTATACTGGCGTAGCCACATAAATTAACAAAATAAGAGTAAAAAATATCCTCCGTAGTGACGTTCGACCGTATGCATTTCCAATGTTCGATCATATGCATTAACTTCCTACAAACAGGACACCTAATAATGGCTACTAAGTAAATCTTCTTTTGAACACCAGTCAAGTAATGCTCTTTTCCCCTTTCTTTCCAAATCATACAGAAGCTTCAAATTAATCTTACCACATTCAGCTATTTTACCATCTAAACCACAAAACAAGCAATATACTTCCTAACCTTCCTTCCACACTACAAGCATGCAATCGATTACGTCATAATAGGGTTTCTATAACATTCAACCACTCAGGCTACCATAAAAAAAAAAAAAAAAAAAAAAAAAAAAAAAACTTGGCGATAAATGAAACAACTTCGCGATAATACAAGTGGTACACTTCTTTCCACTCTAAGCCCCTTATATTTTATATAATTTCCAATTTTCTTTTGCAGTTTAACAAAAATATTTTGGCAGTAAAGTCCTTGATTGCTGTATCGCAGCAAATTAATTTCTTATTTAAGTTATCAGCTGAGAAATACATTTTTTAACTAACTACTTAGGCTGTCTCCATTTTTTTATATTTTCCTATTGTTATTATGCTATTATAGCCTTGATTAGTTTTACTATCATTTATCTTATTTTTCAAATTATCTAAAATTGAAAATTTGTATTTTCATGGCTAACATTGTTCAAATAATTGAATAACTAAATTGATACTGATATCTTTGATTAATATTGAATCTTTGATAATCTTTGATTATATTTAATTGATATCTTTTCTTTATTTCATCTGAAAAATAAAAAATCTATTAGAGAACACTTTTCAAAATTTAGTTTCTAAGTTAAAATACAAAAACTGCTTAGAAAATTTCCTTATGAGTTTATTAAACATATACTGTGAAAGAGTGTAAAGAAGTTCGAGGCATCACTCTGCAATTAATGAAATGAATTATCAATCAACATTTAAGACCAAAAGTTTCATACATATGGAGAATTATTTGTAATGTATATACATATTTTATAATTTAATTGGGTACTTATCCTGAAAATCAATTATTAAAGATACTCCTGAACAGATCTCAGTTTCTTTTTGAACTAGTGGAAATGAAAGAATATATTCCGATAATTGCTCTCTGAGTAATTAATTTTACGGCAAAATACCGTGTTTCTGTAAAAATTTTATTACCAGTTTCTTTCACTGCAAGCAAATCCCACAAGCATATCATTTAAAATTGATTTCAAAGCAAAAAATATCATGGATTTGTTTATAAAAACTGTTCTAACTGAATTTTAAAAAAAGAAAAAGAAGATATTGCATGTTAAAAACTGAAGAATTATTGAATTGAATGCAACATTGAAATTGAATTTTATGATGGATAACTTCATTTGATATACACAATAGTGTGAATAGCAGAATTGAATTTAAACTTTATACTGGATAATTTCATTTGATACAATTGCACTTGCGAGTAGGAATTTGCTGAAGATGGAAATTTTTAGTTTCCATTCATTTGTAATTTTTAATCATTTAGTTACATAAACAGCATAATAGAAAACATGCACTTGTGAGTAAAAACTTATAATAGGAAACATGCACTTATGAGTACAAACTTGCTGAAGATGAAAATATTTAGTTTCCATTTATTTGTATTTTTTATCATTTAGTGATATAAATAGAAAACATGCACTTGTGAGTAGAAACTTGCTGAGGATGTAAATTTTTAGTTTCCTTTCATTTGTATTTTTATCATTTAGTAACATAAATAGTATAATAGAAAACATCTGTTTTTTTTCATATAGGTTCACTTGATGTATATAAATTAGATTCAGAACCGCCACTTTTTACATGGACGTTTGGAGCTTGTGAACATGATGATTTTATCTCATCCCTCAGTTTAAATTCCAATAAATCAAGTCTAATAACTGCTGGAGCTGACCATTGGTAAATATTTTTGTTCTATTAATGTAAAGGAAAAGTTTAATTTTGTATTTTTAAAATATAGAATGATTAGGAGATTTAATATTGTTAAGAAATGAGAATTATAATTTTAAATGAATTGAATATTTTGAATTTTTTAGTATCCCCTATCTTAATGTATTTAGCTATTTTCAATTCTAAAAAAAAGTTTTATTTTTGTACCAATTGTATACCTGGTAACAATGCTAATTAATATTATTAATCATTATTAACAGCCAAATTGGTAAAATTTCTTACCCCCTCCATAATCTGCAATTTCTGGTTTAATCCCCGTAGAGCTCAAAAATCACTATTTTTTTTTTTTAATTTAATGTTTTTTTTTTTTTTTTTTTTTTTTTTCCAAAAACAATTTTTTAAAAACTTTTGTAAGATAATTTGTACCATCCTAAGCATGTTCCTCGGACAAATTAATTTTTTATTACAAATTTTAAAGATATATGTTAATTTAAATATAGAAAAGGTTTTATGGTGATTCAACTTTGGCATAGGAATTAAAGGAATAATTATTCCATTGGCATTTTTCCACTTTATGTTGTTCCGGTTCTTTTTATTAGCGTATACTTTTCTTTCGGTTTTACTTTTTCAAAAAAGAAAAAAAAATATGGGTTGATAGTATTATATTAATTTTTTTTTAAAATTTAAAATTAGGTATCACAAATAAATTTTGAGAAAAGGTGCTAAATGTTTTGAGAAGGACTTGCGGACAAGCATATTGATTGATTTGTTTATTTCCTTGAGATTTAAATATTGTTATAAAAAAATTAGAACTGAAGTTTCAGAGCATTCTTTGGAAAATGCATCTAGCTGGATATCTTTTTACACTAAATATTTTTCCTAGAACAAAATGTTATTAACATTAATAATCTCTTTTGAGCTGAAAAATTTGTTATATTGAAAAAAAAATTATGTTTGTATTTTAATACCATTTAACTTTGGACTTTGACTGATGGTGCCGGACAAAAATATCATAATCAAAAATCAAATATCAAATAATTCACATTCAAAATCTATTTCATAATATTCATATATCATTTCGACATTCTTATAAATATTCGTATGGTAAATCTATCAATCAATCAAATCAATCAATCGTATATCATATCTATCAATCAATCGTATAGTGGTATAGTACAATTTAACTTTTAGGTTTGCGTTGTGAGTAACCTATGTAAAGGGAAAATCAATAACTCCAAATTCAAGTAAACTCCATGTTTCTTAAAAGCCTCCCGGCTCAAACAAATGGAGGGACATGACAGACCACAGAAACTACACTAAATTAAACAAATGAAACATAAAATACATATCAAGCACATTTATTAATTTCTAGAATATTCAAACATATGATAACTAGGTAAACTGATCAGTCCCCTACAAATTAACCTTAAGATGTAAATTAACATATATATCATTTTAAATCTTATACTCATGTTAGGTGTACTAAATTTTTTTTAACATTACATAACTCACAATTTAGGCGGTTGTACCGTATATTAATATAGTATCATTACTCGGTTACAATTTAAATACAAAAGACAGAAAAAAAAATCACTCACAGGGTGAAGTTCATACATTCAACTCCTATGCCATCATCGACTGATTAATATGGACTGCTGATAGTTCAACAGATCGTCCTACTCATTGCGTTGACCATTCGAAGAGATCGAGAATGCCATCATCGACGGATTAATAGGGAGTTTTACAGAGTTCAACAGATCGTCCAGCGTCCAAAGTTTACTCGAGCACCACATTATTCCTGCTGTCCTTTATTCACAAAATCATCGTTAATGGAGGCAGACAGTTCTTGCGAATTTTAAAGATGACTTGGTTGCAACACCATTGAAGCTGTCCTTACAATAAATAAATTCCAGAGCATGGAATGATGAAAAAAAAAATTGACGCAGCTGGCACAGGCAGAATAAACAGCAATGCACACCTTAGAAGGGTCCTACACGAGTCTCTTTCATTCTGGAAGCCCCGAAACTCACCATAAGCGTAGAGCACCTTTGGAACAAAATCTAATTAGAAAGTCAAAGCCGGTAAAAACAGGAATACCGCATCAGGATGTCAGGATCACCAAGAGAATCTGCCGAACAATTCTTGGGATAAGAGAAATCGAAATTCTTCTGCTGAGCTCTAAGCTTTATGCCAACGCAAATTCACGCCAGCTAAAAGCCGAGAGAAAAATCATACCCTCTGCCGGCTGTTCACGCGGCTCGCGAGAAGCAAGACCCGAAGGGTCAAGCCCCCGCTTTTTCTCCTCTTACTCTTCTTGAAAATCAGAATCAGAAAAAATGAACTCTAGCCTGGTGCAAGCACCCAGGAAAACTCGGTTTCTCCGCCTCTGTGAGTTCATAGGCTTTCAAAAAAATCATAAAATTAAATCTTACCAATCCCGGAATTTTAAGTTATCTAAATTGAGAAAATGACACACCCATGACGAATCAAACACCAGAAAATCTGACAATGAAATCCGAAAAACATCTGCACTCATAACGTGAGAAAAAAAAATAGACCCCCCAACTAACAAGTGAAACTAAGCTTTTACGAAAATCCAATTACCAGCCACCCCCACTGTCTTGAAGTAATAAAACTGCAAACTTACAAAGCGACAGGAAAGCAACTTCCGTTTCACACGCATGAGCTAAAAGGGCGACATTGTTAGTGAAACGGCCATAAACCAGATGTGTGTCCTCGCAACCGTCTCTCGCCTTTGTTACAAATCCTATTCAAGAACAACAAGTTAAACAACACCTTAAGAGCCTAAGAATACTTCTTTTTCCAGATTAAAATACACATGAATACAAATAAAAATATTAGAATAATAATGACTTAAAACACATATTAATAATTGAAATTCTCGACATAACATATTGTGTCACAATATAATCGGACACTTATTGTTATGTCAAATAAAAAAAAGCCATGCTTAGAATCTTTCACTCTCTCTATATATGAGTGTCCATTTGTTTGTAATTCATACAGTTTTGTTCCAATCTTAATGAAATTTTATAACTTGACCTTCAAAGCAAGAAGAAAGTCACTGTCCACATGAGATTTCAGAAAGCCACCCTACAGAGTTTACTGTGCAAATTTAATGACCTTTTAATTAAAATCTCAGCGGTTTAAAAACTTTGCGCTGCCGTTCTGCATAAAATATTTCTAATTTAATCAGAAACTCAGCAATATAAAATACCGTATTTACGCGAATCTAATGCGCATCGTTTTTGGCCAAATGTAGTACTCAAAATTGGGGTGCGCATTAGATTCGAGTGCAAAGTTCGCCGATGACGTCAGCAGTTCGCCAATGACGTCAACAGAATTTAAATCGTAACAATGGATTACTGTATTTCTCGACTACATTTACCGTTACATTTATCGTTGACACATTATTGCATACTGCAGAGTACGTAGTCACGAAATGGAAGGCAAGCAGAGAAGAATGTCATATGACGCTACTTTCAAACGTAAAGTAATTCTTTATCCTGAAAGAAATGGCAATAGAAAGGCTGGGAGAGAGTTTAACGTAGCTGAGAGCAATGTTCGCTTGTGGCGGCAACAGAAATTGCACTGTTTGCAACTAAAACTAGTAGAAAGAAATTCACTGGCCCTCGCAAAGGAAGACACCCTAAAATTGAAGAAAACGTTTTGGAATTTGTACGTGAAAGGAGGAAGAATGGACAACCTGTGACTAGCGACACTGTAAGAAATAAAGCAAAAGAGGAGGCTGAAGTTCTTGGAATACCGAAACGAGAGTTTAAAGCTAGCCGTCGATGGGTGGATCGGTTTATGAAGCGGATGGGCTTATTTCTAAGACGCCGTACAACAATATGCCAAAAGCTTCCTGCAGATTTTGAGGGAAAACTACTAACATTTTAGCGGTATGTCATCACACTTCGGAAGGAAAAGAATTTTTCAATGGGGCAAATTGGCAACGCTGACGAGACGCCAATTTGGTTTGATATGCCTCGTAACTACACCATTACGGAGAAGGGGACTAAAAAAGTTATCATCAAAATAGTGAATAAAGACGTTTACTATTAATCACTGATTGTAGAAACTGTTAGCTAGATAGAAATGTTACCATTTATTTCATGTTCATACTTTACAATATGTACCGTATATATGGTAGTGGTAATTAACAATGATTGTTTCATATAACAATAGCCCACTAATAGGTTAATTCTATGTTCTGTTACTTTATATATAAATCCATTGTTGTATAAAATATGGTATCTAAATTTAAATAAAATTATCATACCATTGATTGATAGTTTATATACAAATCCATTGTTGTATAAAATAAGATTCAATAAATTCCTCATACCATTGATGCGCATTACATTCGCCGACAAACAATTTTTTTATTATTTAAAGTTTTAAAATGTCGATGCGCATTAGATTCGCATAAATACGGTAGGTATGCTGCCACTTGAGAAAATGCTCTCTATTTGTCTACAAATTTAATAAACAAACCTAGCGATTTAAAAGTGTGTCTCCACTGCCTGAATTAATTTTTTAAAATTTTCTACACAGCATTGTCGTTTAGTAAAGCATAAGGTGATTTAATTTTTCTTTCAAATTTATTCTGATGTTATGTAACAAATTAGGTGATTTAAAAGCAATATGATAAAATTTTGCACATTTGTACTTCAAAATAGCAGGAAAGTCACTTTGTACATAAGATTTCGAAAAATCAAACTTTAGGATGCTCACTGAGGGTGTTTATATTAAATCACAGAATCTTTAAATGCTGCATATCTTAAGAATCCCTAACAGAGTGTTAAATGCTGCAATAGATTTTTCTATATATAATCACTATACCTATCTATATATATAAAGAATAGTGTCCTTTATTTGTAATTCATACAAATTTAAAGTTTATTCCAATCTTGATGAAATTATGCACATTTGACCTTTGAAATTAGAGGAAGGTCACTGTATGTATAAGATTTCGAAGAAGTACCTCACGGGGTCTACACTTTTTATGTACAGAGATTTTGTGTGAATTTAATAAATCCTTGATTAAAAACTCAGTGATTTAAAAGCTTTGTGCTGCAAAATGCAAGATATTTAATATAAAATTAGCAAAGTAACAACCTTGTGTTTGTCTTGTATGTTTCAAATTTATTCAAAAAGCTTGGTGACATAAAAGAAGTGTCTCATGTGTTGCCACTGCACAAATTAAAATATTTTATAGCATTGTGCTGTCTTTTAGCAAAGAGTAATATATTTAATCTTTCATTTATCTTTATTCTCTTATTAAATAATTGTTAGGCATTGAAAGTGATATAGCAAAATAGTGCATCATGGAGAACACTGAATGTGACCAACTAACAGATGATTTAATGTGGCTTTCCTTAGACTTAACAGGATAGATGAACAATGTATGTTAACCTATGACATTACAAAAAATTTAAAAAAAAAAAAAAAAAAAAAAAGATATAAACAGCTATTGACTTGATCATGATAACTGCTGCATCATGTCTATCATGTCGACTTGGCATTACATCGTGCTGTCAGACATTTGACTAGAAGTCAGTGCATTTTCACATAGTAGATATTGGCCAGAATTTGAATCTTGTACTCTGCTGGACTCCTACTGCGATTCATATCTTCAACAGCTAAATGCACATCAGCATTAACACTGCTTCACGATGAAGAGTTACAGCCTTAGCCACAAGAATAGCCACATCAGTCTGATTTTTTTTAGGTATTAAATGCAGTTGCACTTGTTTTCTTTTCCAGCACTGCACAGTTGCAAAGAAGAATGCAAATTTCCCAACAATAACAAACCAAGCAATTTAGGGGCAATAAATGCAGATTCATTTCTATTATCATTAAATATTAGCTGAACTTGTGAAAATCATCTGTATACGTAAAGAAGAGTGTCTGTTTGTTTGTGTGTGTATAATTCAAATAAATATACAATTTCATTCCAATTTTCATAAAATTTTGTACACTTGACATTCAAAACAAGAGGCAGGTTATCTGCATAAGATTTTGAAAAACCATCCCGCATGGTTCACACTCAGGGCATTGCACTCATGTCACCAATATTACATTCACACTGCGATTGTTGTGTTCCTGGTGTCAATGAAAGCCTAACATGATATTCTGCTAGGAATTTAAAATTGTTTTTTTACAAAAAATAAATGTTAATATTTCTGCAAAGTTTCAATTTTGAATACTTCTCGTCCATCTTAGGTTCATGTCACTGCTTTTGCTAAGAGTTCTTTCTAAAACGTGATGGTGTCTCATTAATTTGCACTTTATAACCATGTAGAACCTTTAAAGCAGAATTTAAATGTGCTTTTTATCTTTATATATATATATATATATTTCAAAAATTGAAGAAATTGTGTGAAGTTAATGGTGGTTTTCAGAGGGATGGGGAAAGACATGACCAATAACAGTACTTATGTATTATCATATTGGCTGGCCAAGTAGCAAGATTTAGCACTAAATATGGATGACCATTTCCTTTAGGATTCAGCAGTAATGATTGCCGACTATTGCTGAAATTCTTGCCAGTGGTCGATGGGATGATACGTAAATAACCTGATAATTAAGCAAGAGTCAGTTATTTCTAAAACCTTTACTTGATGCAGTGTTGTTTCTGTAGGACAATGCAAACCTTTAAAGTAGAATTTAAGTACTGTAGCAATATTTCATGAATAGTTTGAAAAAACAATTTCCTACCCCCAAATGAAGCCTATTCATGCTGTGTAAAGCCTGAGTAAAGCCAAGTACTTCAGATAGTTTTATAATATATTGCCAGGTTACTTGAAGTTTTTAAAATACTAAGTTTCTCGACATGAGCGTAATTAGATTATTTATCATTTCTGGCCTAATTTTTCTGTACTCATCTTGTGTTGCTAATTTTAATTGTAATTTAAAAGTTATGTTTTGTTTATGAATTTCGTATTCAGTTTCTAGCAAAATATGCTCAAAAGTTTAAATCTAGAAGTGTTTTGAGAGTTAAGCCCAGTTTAGTTTTTTTAAGAGCTGGCTGACATCAATCAGCCTGTCAGATTCTGACATAAAGAGGAATCTGAGAATGTAAACACTCACTTTAAACATTCAGAATTGGAGTTAAAGATGACTTACACTATGCTGAAAATTTAGTTTTTCACACTGTGTTGAAAACATAATTTTAACTTAAGAAAAATGTTATTCATTTCATGCAGTAAATGATAAATTTTCCTTTAGAACAGTTTTTGTAAAATGTATATTACTCACAGTATTATATATTGTTGGGAGAAAAAACAAATGTTACATATTGTTATAAACAAACGTGTAGTATACAAATTCATTTTTCTAATTCTTTGCTTAATCTCAATAAAATTTAACAAACTGAAAACAGTTATCACTTGTTATTCAGTTACAATATAGTTATGCTGCTTTGCATAACTATATTGTAACTGACTATCACAAAGCCCATGAACAGTAAATCATACATATCAGTATTATATAATTTTTCTTATTATAAATTATTTATATAATTTTTCTTATTAATTAAATTATATAATTTTTCTTAACAATTATATTTTTGCTGATGTGACAATATCGACATAATTTGCATACAGTACAAAGTCTTTAATCTGGACTCGTCTGGACTTTGGCGATTACGGATTAGGGGTTTTTCCGGATTATAGATCATCAATTTAAATCTGGTAAAATGGCATGCAGAAATTATAAAATTAAAAATATGAAACCGTAATTTATGAAATAAAAAGCAATTATGATCTAAGTGTATCAAAATTTACAAAAAAAAAAAAAAAAAAAAAAAAAAAAGCTTAATATTTATATGTTTACTTTGTTAAACATTTCTTTCAACGTAAGTTGTTTACGTTGCTTCATTTTTTGTGCTAATACTTTCTCTTTAATTTTATAAACAGACATAATTTCTTGTTCAGTTCCACTGTTCAAGTCCTGTAATTGCTGTGTCGAGAATACTGAATTAGAATTGAAATAGAAATTTTTTCATTTTCAATAACCTCTCTCTGTCACTTTCTTCACTATCGGAAGCAGTACATCGAGACATGCTTTCGTTTTGTAGATCATTTGGCAGCTCCAGAATCGGAAACTCTTTTTGACATAATCGAAAGTTCAAGCTTTTTATAAAATTGCTCTAACAGTCTGCAAAAAATAATAAGCCGGATCCAATTAGAAGATTAAGGAACAATGCAATCTGCAACATTAACTAAAATAGATAATTTTAGCATAGCTTATACTGTCCGTTATACATTAAATGTGCATGCGTGATGCATGCGCAGAAAGTTTGTAGCCTTGAGGTCCAGATTATAGATCATTCTGGGTTATGGACGTCCGGATTAAAGACTTTGTACTGTATATATTTTTAAGTGGGGGAGAGGGTGAAAGACTGAAATTATTCTTTGTCTTCAAAAGTTGATGTTTACTAATTATAAAGATGTTTGTAAATCACATTAGAAAGAATTTAATATTGTTTAAAAATGTGTTTAATGAAAGTTATTCAAAAAATTCCATGTTAAGTTATTGCATTTTATTATACATTAAATGTTTAATTTAGTAATTTTGGTTTAATAATAATATTTCAATGTAGTGTAAAAATTTGGGATGTAGAGACGTGGTCCACATACGCAACATACAGACCAGGTAAGAAATATTTACTTAATAGAGAATATTTTTAATTTTTGAAACAGTTATATAAGACAAAATATGATCATTGATGAATTTAATTAGTGTTGAAAATTAAAAGCCAGATATTTACAAACAGTAGTTTGAAATTCTTGTAATTTTCCTTGTAACCCTTTGTTATGTTCACATCCATCCTGCAGGAATGTAAACCAAAAAGGTGAACTTCTAAAGGGTGTCTTGTAACCTAACAACACACACGGTTCTGCATGTTTAATAGTTTATTCCTCCCCTTTTGTGGACATATTGAACCAAATCTTGTGGATGTCCATGATTAAGCAGATCTAAATTGCTGTACTGTGGCTCATTCTCACTAATTTTATTGGCATTTTGAAAATGTTATTTTAGAATGTTAATTCAAGTGAAACTGTGTCAATTTTCTTTTTTAGAAATTTCTTGTGCTTTATCTTTTTGAATAAAACATCCCATATGATCTGTAATTAGTGGAGGTCAATTTTTATTCTTTTGGTTTTGAGTTCAAATCCCTCACTGAATATGGATGTTTTTAATTTTATGGTGGGGGCATTAAAATCTGTTCATTTGGAGTTCCTCTGGTGAGGCTGGTTGTAAAAAAAATTATATAAGGTTCTTGAATTTCATCCATATGAGTGCTGTCAGATTTTTTGTGTATTATATTTAATAATGTTCATAATATGAAAAGGATATATTTATTTTTTAATGAATATGCTATCTGTACTGTTAACTTCCATTGATATTTCTAAAGTGGAACAGATGTTCCAAAATCATTTTGATTTTAAATGTCTGCTTTTCATTTAACACTCTTACTTCTTCTTCTCACACTTCAACATTCTTACTTCTTTATTACTACTTATTCAACATACTTCTTATTGCTTAGTTATGAATTTAAATACCATCTTGCAAGATAATTTTAGCAATACAAAACTGAAAAGTTAACTTTTCATAACTTTAATAGTTTAGTATATATAATAGAAATTATGGCTGAATATTTGGCACTAAGTAGTTATCAATCATAAGATTACAAGTTATTACAGTATAAGTGTAGATTAGTTATAAGTGTACACTGTATTAAAAAAATCCTTTTTTAATGTAATCTTCTATTTGTTTCTTTTTTCTATCCATGTAATATAGTCACTCAAAAAAGTGCTTCATCATTGAAAATTATTTATTATTAATTCAGAAGGCATGTTATTTTCTTTACACTGCAAAATTATATTAAGTCATGGCAGTATTTCAGTTTCTCATAATTTTATATTGAATGCCAAAGTAGGTTTTCCCAATAGTAAATTTTATATATGCATTTCAAGATAAACTAGTTTAATGATTAAAATAATGTGCTATGTTCTTATCACATCATCTAAAATGTGTGTACACAGTTCATGCAGGAATAATCTGGCAGGTGTCCAACTCTACAGAAGATCCTCATCTTTTTGTAACTTGTGGGCAGGTATGTCTTTTTATTACCTCTTTTTGCTTATTCTGTTGTTGTTGTTGTTGTTTTTTAAATTTATATACATATGTATTTTTTAATAATACCTACAGGATGCAAAAATTTTATTGTTTGACACACGCCTGCCAAAGCCAGCTACCCTAATAGGTATGTCATTTTTTTTCTTTGTATTTTTACTCCATTCACTCATATTATGTTTGTAATTCAATGTATTTTATTTTGGTTACAGATAATAACCCATTGAAAGGTGAAGTAACCTCTGTAGCCTGGAAACCATGTAGTGCTAATTTATTTGCTGCTGGAGATGAAAGTGGCCAAGTAGTGATTAAAGACATAAGGACAAATAACTCTTTGTGTTCCTTCCATTCACATAAAAGACGGATATTCAGGCTTTTATTTTCTTGCAGGTAATTATCCAGCATTATATTAAAACTGTAGTGTACTTTAATCAGACTATTATGGATAAGCTGTATTACAGTATGTGAAATAATGTTATAGGAGTTTTTATAATAGACATAACCTGCTCCGTATTTTTAAAATAGTATCGTATCATGACTATACAGTGCAGTATAACCTTTTGGATTTCCAAAATTTCAAAACCAAATGTTAATTTTTTTTTTTTTTTACAATGTTTGAAAAAGTAGATACTTAAAATAATGTATTAAATTTCTTAAAGGAATTATTTATGCTTGGTACACAGTAGATATAACTTGCATATAATTTAATGGTAGATCACATGTTTATAATATATTATAATACATTTTTACATATTCCTTGCAGTGGTTCCTGGCTTGCATCATGTGCAGATGATACAGCTGTTTGCCTAATGGATGTAGAGAAAGAAAATCCTGATTTAATGTAAGGAATTTTTATTTATATGCTGTGGGTCCTTGATTGTCAATTAGTCTCAAAGCCATACCATAAAAAAATTCGAAAATAAATATTCAGCTCAGAAATTAACATTAGGATTTTAGAGCAGATGAATCTTATGAGTAAATTAATAGTACACTACAACTGCAAATCTAATCATATGCTATAAATAAACGTGCATTTTTAATGTTGTTCTGCATTGAAACACATTAGGGAGTATTTGAAAGTATGTTATTCTAAAAATGGTTTATTTTTAAAATTCATCAGTTTTTAAGATTGTAAAATATTATTTGTGATATTCACAAAGCCATTTAAAATGTTTTAGGGAAGGCAGTACATTATAATCAAAATTAAAATAATCTCTCACTTCATTAACACTGTATTACTTCATTAGTTTGGAATACTTCATTGTCTTAATTATTATTTCCAAGATGTTTTAGTTATACTACTGAGGAAAATATGTGTATACATTTAGATTACTGATAAAATATTTAAAGTATCTGATTTATTTTATATATTAAGTACTTACATTATAGTTGTTGCTTGAGAAGTAAATTGATGCAGTTCATAGTACAGTACAAAGTCTTTAATCCGGAATGATCTATAATCTGGACCTCAAAGCTACAAACTTTCTGCGCAAATGCATAATGCATGTGCGTTTAATGTATAATGGATGGTATAAGCTAGGTTAAAATTATCTAATTATCTATTTCAGTTAATGTTGAAGATTGCGTTGTTCCTTAATCTTTTAATTGGATCCGGCTTATTATTTTTTGCAGACTGTTAGAGCAATTTTATAAAAAGTAAGCTTGAACTTTAGATTATGTCAAAAAGAGTTTCCGATTCTGGAGCTGCCAAATGATCTACAAAGCAAAAGCATGTTTCGATGTCAATCAAACAAAAGTGGAATTGCTGCAAAAAATGGATAAAGGCATGAAGAAAGTGACAGAGAGGTTAGTGAAAACGAAAATTTTCGATTGATAAGTTAGTCGGTATTCTCGACACAGCAATTACAGGACTTGAACAGTGGAACTATGTAACTGAACAAGAAATTATGTCTGTTTATAGAATTAAAGAGAAAATATTAGCACATAAAGTGAAGCAACTTAAACAACTTACATTGAAAGAAATGTTTAATAAAGTAAACAAATAAATATTAAGCTTTTTTTGTGTGAAATTTGATGCCTTCTAGATCATAATTGCTTTATTTCATAAATTACGGTTTCATATTTTTAATTTTATAATTTCTGCATTTCATCTTACCAGATTTAAATTGATGATCTATAATTCGGAAAAACCCCTAATCTGGAATCGCCAAAGTCCCAACGAGTCCAGATTAAAGACTTTGTACTGTACTGATTTCTATAGATTTAACTCCATAGCACTAAATTAAAAAATATGGAAACTGAACAAAATTAAATGACCACAGTTTATTAAAAAAAATATTTCTTCAAATAAACTCACATCTAAAATTAATGTTACACCTGTCGAAACACAAATTTCTGTCTCTTCAATAAACTTTAATGATTTATATGGAGCAGTAGGGGACTTGTGAAAACCCTTTATTAAATTTGTATCTAACCCGTTGTTCTTTTTGTGTGGAATTAGAAAATATAACCATTGAATATATACATACATGTATAATGAATGCTTTAAATTTGTATACATTTTGTGAACAAATTTTTTTAAGTCGTTTTTAATAGTGCTAAAGAAAACGGTGAGCTGCAAAAGATTTTCTTAAAGAATTTTTTTTTTTTTTTAAATTCTAATTTAGCACTGCATAGTTCCTTAATTCCAATTATTAGAAAATTCAATAAGTATTAATGAATAATTTTGAAATATTTTTTGATAAATTACAGTAAACTTCCCTTTGACAGGAGTAATATCAGGAATGACATCCACAATTAATGTAAAATCATGGTTAATCAGGACATAGTTAAAACAAAACATGAGAAAGAGAAGCAATCAATATTATAATTAACAGAAAATTAATATTAAGAACTTCCCCAAACAGTTTAAAATAGAGAATTTAGTTAATGTAAATAATCAGCATGAGAGTTGTTGTTAATATGAATACAAGCTAACTTCTTAAAAATTCCTGCATAAAGTCATTTCTTTCCTTAGACAGTCTAAATAAATAAATCTTTGCAATTGGTTTCATATGGAATGAAAACAAAAGTTGATATTATAGTGGTTTTCAACCTTTTTGGCCCTGATGCACCCTTTTAAGCAGTGCTAGATAATCATCCCCCATCCTTTCCAAAATTAAAAAATATATATACACATTTATGTAAATTTACGTTTTTAATGTGTGTCATAAATTAAACAAGAAACAGTGTAGTAAATACTCATAAAAGTAGTGTTTCACATTCATAAACTAAAATAGCAAGTAAATAAAAAGCTGGGTGTAAGACAAATCTTTAATTATCTAAGAGTGGAAAACTTTTTATATTTTTTTAGTGCAAAACTTGAAAGTTGTACTTGCTGAAACTTGGAGTTTTAGCTTATGTTCTGTGGTCAGTACTGTTTGATAATTATTCATGTATGATTATCAAATAGTATGAAAAATTAACAATTACTTTTTAATAAGTATGAGAAATACATCATTGTAGTGGTTACCATAGTGGGAAATTAAAATATACGTAGCGTATTCGGAAACTAAGTACCGTTTCATTCTAGCACCGTCGCAGCGCTGTGGTAGGCGTCCCGCGCATGCGCACTAGTCTTTCTTGTTCACTGACTTTCAATTGTCGCCATTTTGGTTGCTCTATGTTGTGTTTTCAGTTTGCTGTGCACATTCAAAATGTTTAAGACAATTAATTCTCCCGCTGACTGCGAGATTCGTGCCATGATTAAATTTTTGAATGCGAGGAATGTTAAACCAGCCGAAATTTATCGTCAAGTGACAGAAGTTTACGGTGAATACGCAATAAGTGATGGAATGGTGAGAAAGTGGGTAAGAATGTTTAATACAGGTCGAACAAATGTCCACGCCGAGGCTCGGAGTGGTCGGCCTTCTGTTGTTACCGATGATTTAGTAAGGAAAGTTGATGAAGCAATTCATGAGAACAGATGCTTCACAATGACAACTCTTTCAGAGGCATTATTTCCACAAATTTCACATACTGTTTTGTTCGAAATTGTGTCTGACTGTTTGAATTATCGCAAACTGTGTTCCCGATGGGTTCCAAAAATGCTCACTGATGTTCACAAAACAAAGCGACTTGGTAGTGCCCTGACATTTCTCACACGGTACAGTGATGAGGGAGAAAAAAATTTTAAACCAAATTGTGACAGGTGATGAAACCTGGGTGTGTCATTTCACACCAGAATCAAAACAACAATCGATGGAGTGGAGACACACTCATTCTCTGAAAAAACAAAAGTTCAAAGTGACAATGTCATCACAAAAAATCATGTGCACTGTCTTCTTAGATAGGAAAGGCGTTTTGCTGAATTTCTTCCCAGAAGTGAAACCATTAATGAGGCATGATATTGTGAGACTTTAACAAAACTAAGGTGTGCCATTCAAAACAAACGAAGAGGAATGCTCAGTAAAGGAATTGTGTTGCTCCATGACAATGCTCGGCCCCATTTTGCTGGTGTCACTCAATCGTTAATTTGACAGTTTCATTGGGAGCAGTTCGATCACCCGCCGTACAGCCCGACTTGTTCCTGCACATGAAGTGCGAGCTTGGTGGCAAGCGGTTTTTTGGATCTGACAATGACACGAAAAATGCTGTGGAGTCGTGGTTATCGAAACTGGCGGGAAGTTTCTTTGACGATGGTATACAAAAACTGGTCACCGGCTATGACAAGTGTTTGATCATTGGTGGAAACTATGTTGAAAAATAGTTTAAGACATGTATTTTCATGTAAAAATAAAATTGGATTCAAAAAAATTGTTTTACTTTTTTTTTTTTTTTTTTCAAAACGGTACTGAGTTTCCGAATACGTCTCGTACATGAGGGCACAAAGTATATTTTGAACAAAAGTAAGACATTTAAGGTTAAAGAATATTATGAATATCACATAAAAAATATTGTATTTCATCCAAAAACAAGCTTTTCTTTGTTTACAAAACACATTGGAAGTAAAGGTAATTTTTAAAGATTAAAAAATATGAAATTTCAAGGTGTTAACATCTCTAAAGTTTTTGATTGAGGTTTATTTTGGATATTTTAAAATCAGCAGTTTTTGTATTTAATTATATATTTGTTTTCAGTAAATTTACATTATATTTTGTATATTAAAAAAAATTGTTCATCTCTTTGTGTAGTCATTTCTTATGTATTCAGTTATTTATTTATATTTTTTTTTTCCTTCTCCCTTACAGATACAGAGATGACAGCCATCAAGATTTTATTCGTGGCATGACTTGGTCACCAGAAAATCATTTAATTACATGTGGATGGGATAAAAAAGTTATAAAGCATGTATTTGATATAAATGTTTCATGTTGATAGATCTCTAATAAATATTTTAAATGTTTTCTTCAAATGCTACTGTTTTTCCGAAGAATACATAATTTAATTTGATCCTCAATGTGGTTTATAAGATATTTCCTTTTCATAAGCTTATTCTGCTGAGATTTTATATGCCGTTTTAATAAGCTGACAGATGCTACATAAGAATTTATTTATAGCTCTGAAATATTTGGACTAAAGAAAATTTTTGTATGAAATATAAGAAAAAAAATTAAAGTGGAACCTCATTAATCATTACATTAAATAAAATTTTAGATCAAATTTTATAACCTGAATCATGCATCATTTTTATAAAATACATGTTAACTGTTCATTAGTATAGTATATAATATAAAATAAAAAATATTTTTTTTAATTAAATCATTACATTGAAAATAAAACTGTACTTTACCCATCATAAGCCAGTTATTAAATCTGAAGACGCAGATAATCTTTTTTAATTCTCTTTCACTATGAAATTCAGTAACATCTGATCTTTGTAATCTTCTATATCAGTGTGATACCTGAATAAAGGGGGGGATCTACAAAACAATTATCAGCATTCATGAAAAACAATATACAGTAGAACTCCAATTATCCGAATCAATTGGGACCGGACTCCATTTGGATAATTGGATTTTTTCCAAAGAAAGGGTCTACGTACACTTTAATTAATTACTATATGTTGAAAATGAGAGAAAAACAACTATTTTTAAAGAAAGAGAGGTTTTAATTAATTAAAATGAAAAGGTAATGCTTTTATATATTATATAGCATACTCTACAGTACTTATGTTATAAGTGCTGAAAGTCATTGCTTGCTGAAAACCTCGGTCAGGGTAAGCTGTTTGACTGTCTTCATCCATTTTCAGAAAGCCAAGTCACTCATTAGCTTGACAGTAAGAAGTTGCATGTGGTCACACACTGGCTGACGCTCCTTTCACTTCAGCACAGTTTCAAGGCAAGCAAACGCTTCACTAGATCAGAGTTTCTTAAATTGTGGGTTGCCACAAATTTTAGCAGTTTTATGTCTATGACTTACTATAATAATTTTACAACTACCAAATACTTTTACACAATGTATCTGAAAATAAAGATAAGACAATACAGACAAAGGAGAAAACAAAAACATTTCGTCGCATTCTTTTTATAAACAATCATTTTACTTGCTTTGCACATGGCGCTGTCATTTTGTCTGTTACTTATTTAAAATTTTCACATTGTTCTATAACTTAAAATTAGAAATTAAAGTTAACAACCTAAAACTGCAATAGTATATTACAGTAAAAGTGAAAAAAATGACATTTCACGGGATTTCGGATTTGCACAATGCTAAATTTTCATAAATTTTATGGTGTCCTGGGGTTGGGAAAATATCTCGGTGATAAAAAGGGAGTCACAACTGAAAAATGTTTAAGAAGCCCTGCACTAGATGATGATTCCGTGTTTGCTTCAACTTCAACATTAAGATCATCTTCTCTCACACTTTCAATAAGTTCACCATAATTGAGAATTTGAAATCCGCAGGGTCTGAAGAATCACACACCATCCATTCTGCTGTATCCTCAGCACTAATGTATGAACATCCTGGAATTTTCAAAAGAATGTTTCTTAATTCCTCAAGTGACACATTATCCTCGTCTTCTCGTGTCTCTTTTCTTGAGCTTCTTTTTCCTTTTTTCTTCAATTCATTCTGAAAGCGATTCGGATAGTCGTAGTTCAAATAATTGGAGTTGTACTGTACTTAAAAAGTTCATCAAATGTCAATAAATTTATCAGTTTACTTTCCAATCTCCTTTCTTAAAAGATGATATTCAGAATAATTACAATGGATTAAGAATGTTATGTTTTAGTTTAGAAATATTCCATTATAACTCTTTTAGTTAAAAATTATAATAAGATTTTGCTGGATGATTTTTCTCACCTTATTCATTGCAGTCTGTTTTATTGTACTAAAATAATTCAGCAGATATTGTAGAAATACCTGGAGGAAATACTACTTTATAGTAACAAAAGAATGAGATAAGGTTATAAAAGGTGTGCAAAAGGAAAAGGTTGGGAACAGCTGCTCTGTGTAAATAAATGGCTCGTAAACTTGCAAAACTGTAGTGAGAAATATCTTCTTGTGAAGTTGTTCACTTGCATAAAGATATGTTTATCCATTGGCTGGAGGAATTATATCCCTAATTATTCTGTCTTAATTTAAAGTGCATCGGGTTTAATATGAGCTACAGCATTATCCAGTAATATTGGTTAACATTGTTTCTAAACTTTAAGATTTCAATTTTCTATCTGGCAAATTCTTGTTAATTTTATCTCTGCCATGGAAATAACAGAATACAACAGGTTGTCCATAATGTTTATTTTGTACACTTTTTTGCAAAAAAATCAGAGCACTAAGAAGGACTTTATGCATTTGTGATGAAATTTGTTATGCAAAAACATCTTGATCAAACATGCAAATGATAAAAGTTTCAAGGCAAATGAACAGGAATTTCGAACTTAACGCACATTTCTAGTGCGCAATTTGCAAAGTATAAAACCAGTAACAGAGGCAGAAAATTTACCTTTATTTGTTGCTGATATTGTAATTCCTGATGCAAAAGCAAAGTTTAAAGTTGTAAAATTAAACATTTAGCAGCAGTAGCAATAGAAGCTCCCTAAGGTTTATGTGCTGTGCAGACATTGAAGACAAAAAAAGAGTTTTTAAAACTTAGCCAATTTATTAACAATATATAAAAATAAAAACACAATGAATAAATTTAAACAATATCAGAAACTTAAAAATTATAATATAACCATTATCAAAAATTTAATGTATTAAATAATATTTTACCTGACCTCCCAAAATACTGGCATTCAATACGCGAGAAAACATATCCTAAACAGAAATTATGCGGTTTTAATGAAATTAGCTACACTATCAATAAGTCCATGCTTAATGGTCAAGAAGGCACCTGAAAATTAAATTAAATCCTTGAGAGCACTTAAAACCGGCCTAACGCCGCTCACTGTAGTTAAACACGAGGAATCACAGCTTAGAAAAACATCGCCGCTAACTTGTGTTAAATGCCGCCTTCATGAAGAACATGGATGCCTGCCCACGGCAGTCACTCACATCGTAGCCTCTTTTGAGAATCCAGGAAAAGTCATCTTGTAGACTGGAACCACGGAACTTATCACCGGAAAAGTAATCTTGTTGACTGGAACCACGAACTTATCCAGGAAAAGTCATCTTGTAGACTGGAACCACGGCACTTATCACCGGACTGCACGCATCGCAAGACATCTTCCAATAGGGGCTGGAAACTGCACACCAAGGAGCCAAGAAAACAAGAAATAGAAGTGATGAGCCAATCTGATCCGATCCGAACAAGTATGGCTGGAGTAGCGTGCAAAGCGCGCTGTTTCCAGCTCATGAGGAGAGCCAGTAGGCACATGACGGTAGGAAGTCTGACGTGGTAGGAGTTAAGAGAATGAGGTGAGGCAGAAGGGGGGCGAGCAAGATGCCGCAAGCCTAGGAATTAGGCCAGACAAGAAGACGCGCCGCAGACAGCTGTGCAAGGTAAAGCAATAATGATTTTTTAAGATAAAATACTGTGAAAGTATACTACATGACAGAACGAGTTTGTAAGAATACAAACTCTCAAAGGCATACATTTGCAAATATAGAGTTACAGTGACAAAAATGCAGTTTGGAAGATCAGAACTCATGTAGAAGTTTCGATAAAATAATAAGAAAAGTATTCATAAAAGCTATATACAATATGTAAAACTATATACAGGAATGTTCTACTTTATGTAGGAAAGTTCAGATCTCTGGCTAGGTGGGCTGCCAGCAGTCGTAACTCTTTATCTTCCGGTAGTGGAATGTAGTCAAATACATGTAATTTTGTCATGTGAGGGCATGTAAACTGCTTTCTGGAAAAAGCTGGAGTTTAGCGATGGAAGATGCTCTATGACAGTTTCAATTTTTCAAATCTTTGTGTAAAGTCCTATTAGATACAAAATAATGCGCATTCGTGAAGGTCGCAGCAACTTGTTCTGTGTAATTTGTAAATTAGATATGTCCCTGTCTCTAACTGATGCCCACGCAGGGGAAGCATACATGAAGATTGGCCGTATAACAGAGATGTATAAGTGCCGTTTTCTTCTTAAGTCCAGTTTAGAGTGCTCATTAATAAGTGGGTTGAGACTCTGAATGACTCCTAGTGTTTTTCCCCTGACATGAGTCAGGTGATCCTTCCAGGAAAATTTATCATTAATAATAACGCCAAGGTAATTCGCCTTGCGCACTCTAGGAACTTCTGTATTCAAATAGCTTAAGCTTTTCCGTTGATTTCAGTGGCAGAGTTCTTTCTTTCGGATAATGAGCAGTTTGGATTTATCTGCGTTAATTGAAATACGCCATTTGGTACACCAAAATTCTATTTGCGGCATGATTTGTTGAAGTTTCCTGACAGCTTGATTAGGACACATAGATTTTACAGCAAGCGCCGTATCATCTGCATAACATCCAATGAAGTAATTGTAGTTAAAGCCTGTTTTAGGGAAGTCAGTCACAAAGAAAAGATATAAAATCGGACCTAAAATTGACCCTTGCGGGACGCCGGCATGAATTCTTTTCACTTCAGATATCTCATTTCCAATAGAAACATGAAAACTTCTGCCTTTCAGGAATGAATAGATGAGACACGTTAAAGTTTTGGTGAAGCCAAGGGAACGGAGCTTGAAAATTAGACCTTTGTGCCAGATGCGGTCAAAAGCTTTGGCCATGTCTAGCATGAGTAAAGCCACATTTTGTCTGTTATGTAATGCACTGCCGGTGAACTCAGAAAGTCTGACCAATTGTTTCGTGGTGGAAAGCGTTTTTCGGAAATCAAACTGTTCTTCTGGTAGTTTCTCTTAAGTATGGATGGATTCTGTGATAAATGATGCGTTCAAAAATTTTCCCCAAAACGGGAAGCAAACTGATAGGTCTAAATCCTTCTGGGCGAGTGGTAACCTTGCCGGCTTTAGGTAAGACAATCATTTT